AGGTATGCCATTAACTCAGCATGGCAGGAAAGTACGGGTTTCACTCCAGCTGAAGTTGCTTTGGGACGTAAGTTGAAGGGTCCTCTAGACAGGCTGATCCAGAGACCACCTAATCCAGACCATCTAGCATATAACACCCTTGAAAGGCAGAAAGCTTTCCTTGAGCAAGTGATTGCAAAGACCAGCCAAGCACAAGAGAGACAAGGAAAATACTACAATCAACGTAGAAAACCAAAGTCCTTTGAGGAAGGAGATTTGGTTTGGATCCTCACACACCCTCTGTCTCGAGCTGCAGATTCCTTTATGGCCAAATTAGCTCCGAAATGGCAAGGTCCTGGCAAAATTGTAAAAAAGGTAAATAATGTCAACTACAGAGTGGTAATGCTTGATAAACCCAGTCAATGTGATACTTACCATGTGGAAAAGTTGAAGGAATTTTATGGAACTGTATAACTCTTTTCTTTAGGGGAAGGGGTGTGTAACAGTTTTCCTGTTACTATTTGAAAATTCTACCTGTAGTAGCTATCTCACCCATTAGAGGGCGATCTAGGTAGTAAGTCTCCAATCTGCTTAAAAGGAGGTAGAGAAGAAGCAGTAGGTAGGAAGTATGGTGCCTAGCACATGGAAAGGCTTCTTCACTGCGCTGTTGTTTGTTGCCCTTATTTGAGGAACATTTTTGTTCTTATATCTCAGATGTAAGTAGGCCTGTTTTTTTTGTATATATTTCGGTTTTGTACATATGTTTTGTGTGGTGTTGGCAAGGTTTTGATTGTATGTTTGTTTATATGCAGAGGGTTTTTTGGTATCCACTTTAAGTCATCAAAACAGGACCTGGACAATCCATCCTCATATCCACAGACTTTTTCCATCCACTTTCCTACTGATTCCGTGGCCAGCCATTGATGAACTGTTTGCTGAACTTGATCTTTCATGTGATTCACTTAAGGACTGTTGGTATCTTTTTTTGGATTGCTATAAATACTGGATTCAATGAGAGACACTTATCGAGTGCTTATTTCTGTCTAATAGTGATCATTAATGAGTTGACTGCTGATCATTTCATATCCCCAGTGTGTAACAATAATTATTCATACCTGCTGTCATATACATTTATTCTAAATACACATGAATCTCTGAAAGTTGTTTTGTGGTCTCTCAATTTCTTTAATGTAGCTTCAAAAAAAGTAGTTGTTACATAGTGATGTGTCCTAATACTCCAGTATAGTGATGTGTCCTAATGCTCCAGTATAGTGATGTGTGTCCTAATACTCCAGTATAGTGATGTGTCCTAATGCTCCAGTATAGTGATGTGTGTCCTAATGCTCCAGTATAGTGATGTGTGTCCTAATACTCCAGTATAGTGATGTGTCCTAATGCTCCAGTATAGTGATGTGTGCTAATGCTCCAGTATAGTGATGTGTCCTAATGCTCCAGTATAGTGATGTGTGCTAATGCTCCGGTATAGTGATGTGTCCTATTGCTCCAGTATAGTGATGTGTCCCAATGCTCCAGTATAGTGATGTGTCCTAATGCCACAGTATAGTGATGTGTCCTAATGCTCCAGTATAGTGATGTGTCCTAATGCCCCAGTATAGTGATGTGTCCTAATGCCCCAGTATAGTGATGTGTCCTAATGCTCCAGTATAGTGATGTGTCCTATTGCTCCAGTATAGTGATGTGTCCTAATGCTCCAGTATAGTGATGTGTCCTAATGCTCCAGTATAGTGATGTGTCCTAATGCTCCAGTATAGTGATGTGTCCTACTGGTCTAGTATAGTGGTGTGTGCTAATGCTCCAGTATAGTGATAGGTACACTATACACCATTGAGCACCCTCTCTCGAATAAGAACATTAAGGAAATATTAATTTCCCATCACTATTCTTGTAGACTTTAGCTCTTTTTGTATTTACTCCCACATCCCCAGTATTTCCCGTGCATGCTTGATGCAGATCTTCATGTCTAAACGTCAGTATGTAATTTAAACAGAAATTATTCATTATTTCCCCAGGGAGTGTACAAATTGATAGATGAGCGCTATAGCTGGTACTGAAATTAGTCTTACAATGAGAAAGGGGGTGGGGCTTTGCAAAGGGTCAATTGCAATATAGTGAAGTAAACTTTAGCAACATGTTTGCAGGGTTTAAACACAAAAAAAGCATGCAAGGTTCTGCCTCACCTGTGACTTTCAGCTCCAGCTCTGCACTGCTGTAGTCACTGTCTCCATTGACGTAGCAGTGAAATAAAGCTTCATCCTGAATGATGATCTTCTCCAGCTGCAGAGACACATCTCCACCCTTCAGTCCTCCAGACAGATCTGAGCGTGGTGTCAGAGAGCTGCGGTTCCTGAAGGTCTCCTCCTGCTCGTCTTGTATCTTGCCATGTTGGAAGTAGAGCACAGTGTAGCGGAAATCCTCATGACGGTACCAGCGGATCTCCAGAGCTTCAGCATTCTGGGCCGGAGAGATCCAGCAGGGCAGAATAACTGTGGAGCCCACATGAGCCACTACAGGACCAGGAGGAACCTTGGCGGTGAACGACACTGATGGACAAACACACAGCGGTCAGTCTGCATCTACAGCCTTAGAGATCACACATCTACACCTGCATGTTCTTTATGTTGGAGATGAAGTAGATCCAGGAGGTTGTTATCTCAGAATAAAGCCAGACAGGTTAATCAGATGTGATGTGAAGTGCAGCACTGTTGTATGAGACTGAAGGCTTTATTCAGAGAAAACAGGATCTTGGATGTACTTTATCCTGATTATTACACAGCTACTTGTTACAAAACATAAAGATGAGACGCAAAGCATTGCTCTGAGCTGTAATAGTTCATTTATCACTTAATTAAACGCTGACAGCTGACAGAAACAAAAACAGCTGATGGAGCATACACTTATTTGCGCATTATTCAGACACTAGGTAGCGCCAAACAGCCACCAGCTGACTGACTTAAACTAGCTCGATTAAAATAGTCACTACCCTCCATATTATTCATTCAAGATGCCATCAAACAGTCAAAAACTGTGGTGTGACAGACAAGCAAACACGTAATAATGTAGATGGAAGTTTATGGATTTGAATGCATTCACTGATGGCCAAGGTGATTCTCAGTTCCCGGATAAGTCTGTGTTATTTAGAGGTGGTTATCTGGGAATAACAGACTTTGGATTGTCGTAACTGACCAATCAGAATCAAGTATTTCAGACAGCTGTGTAATAAGATGAAGTAAGGCATGTTGCTTTATGGAATCTACCTGGGTAGAAGTTTATCTTGTGCAATTTAGATTTAAAGGGGCAGTTCACTATAAATGAAAATGATATAACTCTCTCCATTCCTTCCATACCTGTTTGAGTTTCTTTCTACAGTTGAACACAAAAGAAGACATCTGTTTCACCCAGATCTGGCCTAAACTCATTCACTCTTTCATCCATTTTACTTTAGCTTACTCCCTTATTCATCTGTGGCCAGTACAGTGGAATGAACTGCCAACTATTCCAGCAATATATTTTACACCAGCGGATGCCCTTACAGCCCCAACCCAGTACTGGAAAACACCCATACACTCATTCACACACACACTCATACACTACAGCTAATTTAGTTGATCAGTTCCCCAAAAAGCGCATATGTTTGGACTGAGGGGGAAACCGGAGCACCCGGAGGAAACCCACGCCAACACGGGGAGAACAAGCAAACTCCACACAGAAACATCAAGTGACCCAGCCGAGACTCGAACAGTGACCTTCTTGCTGTGAGGCAACAGTGCTAACCACTTAGCCTCCATGCTGCCCCCCGTCCTAATTAGTATTGGGAAATGGAGTTAGTGTGTCCCACACTGTGATATGCTGAAAAGAGTATGCTAAAGGTTCCTGGACGCTCAACGAAATTAGAAGTGTGTGTACTCTAACCACTAATATTACCCACAATACACCGAGCTTTAGATGTGAATTCAGTTAGAACTACAATCATGGATAAAAAGTGTAAACAAACCACAAGCATGGCGGATGCACAAGACCAACAGTCAACTAGAGAGACTTTGCTAAAGTTTCTTGAGGGAATATTCCCGGAGGTCTGGAACCTTTATTCAGCAAAGAGCCATTTCTGATTTTTTTTTTTTTTTTTTTGGCAAATACGTTTTTTAAAAAGCCATTGGGTGTGTGTGTATACACTTTTAGTGTGAGTGCAAAACACGCCTGAGCCCGAAACTGAAGATGAGACGTGACTTTTAATCATATGGATTTATTAATCACTCAATGTGAGTGCAGGCCGAGGGGGAAAGGGGACAAATACCATTTTAAAATACGTTATGGGTATTTTTACAATAATTCATAATCATTAAACTATATTGATCAATTTACGTGTACTTTTAGGTGTCAAAAAGAATAGAGGAAGATGATAGAAAAATTAAAGCGTCTTGGAAATGTCATCAGCATAGTAGTCTATGGCAGAGAGAAGATGAGGAGGAGGGATGGACTCATCGGGCCATGCATGATGATGGTCATTCAAGCAGCTGTGAGGAGGAAGATTATCAAGAAGAAAGTGTCGTCTAGACAAGCACAGAAGGTCCCAACTACACAAACACAGAACACAGTCAGAGAGCAGTCAGCAATGGCAATGCAAAAAGGAAAGAATACAGATACTCTACAATATCATGTACATTTGTTGAGTTCATTGCATCTGCTGAGGAAGACACAGAGGACTCAGACCGACTGCTTTCTGACTGTGTTCTGTGTTTGTGTTGTTGGGACCTCATCTTCTTGTCTGAACTTTTTTCTTGATAATCTTCCTCATCACAGCTGTCTGAATGACCATCATCATCATGCATGGCCTGAGGACTCCATCCCCCTCATCATCTTCCCCTAACTGCTCTATGGCACTTCAATTGCCATCTATTAATATGGACTCTGCACTCTGTATATGGACAGTATTGAAATAGTTTGCTGCTGATGAAATACTACAGGACACTGGAGAACAAATAAACCTGCACAATATATTCAAAGATGGCAAGTCTATAAACACAGATGCCAAAGAGATTGAGAAAGTCCTAGGCATCTACATAAACATAAAAGGTCAAGCTGCGGTGTGCCTTTTAGGCCGTACTCACACTAGGTACAGTTGCCTCGAACCGAGCCAAAGCACGCTTGTCCCCTCTCCCGTCTCCCCTGATGGCCCGCACTCACACTACAATTAGGCCTGGGCACGCTTACCTCATCGCTGCTGCGCTGTTCAGTTAAAGCTCTCACTTAACAGCACAGTGGAGATTTCTCTAGTTATATCATGTCAGTGGTTTGATATGTAGTGATATGCCGTCAAATATTTCACCAAACAGTCCTTAGGGATGTGGGGACACTCAGTCAGATATTTCGCAGAACAGATCCGCCACTTTTGGCACTCTTAAACAGTCATAAAGCTCTCGGGCTGCAGGAATGAGGAGGTCTGCTGAAGGCGCGCAGCTGTAGTGAAGTGAGGAGTTTGCGTCTTTAATAAACTACGGCAGTTTGCGTTCACTGAACAGTAAGAATGATTAATAAATCCATATGAAACAGCCCCTTAAAGTTACGTCTCGCTTTCAGTTTCAGTTTTCAGGCGCGTTTTGCACTCACACTACAAGTGCACTGCACCAAAGCCCAAGTGAACCGCACTCAGGCACACCTCTTCCAACCACTCACACTTCTCAAACGATCCGGGAAACGGGCCTGGGCACGCTACGGATAACATAGAGTGAGTAGGCCCTTAATGATAGAAGGCATGACCCTGATCATTCTCCAATATGGAGAAACCTGACAGAGATAAAACACTGCACCAGCAATCTCTTCTCACTAGGCAAGTGTAAGATTCTGATGGTATGAAACCCTTAGATAAAAATATCACGGTTTCCTGGTATAGTGATTACTTCTCTAAAATGTTCTTTTTAAATGTCTGGGTTAAAAAATAAAACTTTTTACCCCTTTGAAATAATATATTTTATTTTTTTTAAAGAGTTATAATAGATTGGAGCAGTGAACATGTCAGGCTGAATAATTGAAAAGATTAATTGACCTCTGCTGTCTTCATTTGTTTTAAAAACACTGATTTATTTACAATTAAAAGTGGTATATTTGTATATGTTTTCTGCTGGAGATACTGTTGTCCTAAAAAAAAAACTAAATAAAAAATCATACACAAATTTTAGGAACAATATAGCAGAACATTTTGGCGGATTCAAAACCTCGACTTTTCCAAACCGCAGTAAACCTTGAACACGGTTATCATCCCTAGTTCTCACTTCTGTGTTCTGAAATTAATACAACACATACCACAAAGTTTAATGATAAAACACTGTAAAATGCTTAACAAAACAAAAAAACAAAGAGATAAACGGCCTGAAAGGTTCTCTTTCGTCAAAATTATTTTTTTTGTATTTAAAATTATCATTGTTGTTATCAAAAAGTAGCACAAACATCAGAGGTATCAAATGTGATACAAAATAAATATCATTTAAAAATGTATATGACCGTTTTAATTTTGCTAGATGGTTTAATAAACATCTCAGTTCCAGAAAATGTGAATTTTCTGACTATTTTTTTATATGTCAGGTCTTACGGGGTTAAGAATGAGTTATTGCATTAAAACATGTAGACTGATCATTACTGTGACACTTGTATTAAGTCATTTTATCTCAAAATTATTGTTATGGAATGGTCATATATGCCTGGTAAACCTTTATCACTCTAGATCCCGAAAATGACCGAGGAATCAATGCATCGCTCGTTATTTTGGCCAAGTGGTGCTCACTGCAGAGCCATTTGAGGAGAGCTGAGCTCCAGCGAGGGGGAGCTTGAGCTCCACCTTTTTTGCACTTCTTCTACGAGTGATGTCACTGGGGGTAGGGTTAGGGGTGGGGTTGGTGTACGCATTAAAACAGCTTACAGGAGGAGGAGCGCAGTTCTCTCAACTCTCACACCAGTTGAGATAAAATATTCAAATTAACTGTACAATTGTCTAAATATTATTCTGAATGATGCACAAGCTTTGTTTTTTACAGTTATGCCTTTATTGATTTTATATACAGTAATAAATCCATATTTTCAGTATATTTAATACACTGTAAAACCGCCTTAATGAATTAAACTCTGACACCATTTGAGATAAAATATTCAAATCAACTGTGCAATTGTCTAAATATTATGTCTTTCATGCACAAGCTTTGTTTTTTACAGTTATGCCTGTATTGATTTTATATACAGTAATAAATCCATATTTTTAGTATATCGAATATACAGTAAATCTCTTAATGAATTAAACTCTGACACCATTTGAGATAAAATATTCAAATCAACTGTGCAAGTGTCTAAATATTATTCTGAATGATGCACAAGCTTTTTTTTACAGTTATACCTTTATTGATTTTATATACAGTAATAAATCCATATTTTTAGTATATCAAATATACTATAATTCTCTTAATGAATTAAACTCTGACACCATTTGGCATATAATATTCAAATCAACTGTACAATTGTCTAAATATTATTCTTAATGATGCACAAGCTTTGTTTTTTACAGTTATGCCTTTATTGATTTTATATAAAGTAATGAATCCATATTTTTAGTATATCGAATATACAGTAAATCTCTTAATGAATTAAACTCTGACAACATTTGAAATGCAATATTAAAATCAACTGCACAATTATCTTAATATTATTCTCTATGATGCACAAGCTTTGTTTTTTACAGTTATGCCTTTATTGATTTTATATACAGTATTGAATCCATATTTTCAGTATATCGAATATACTGTAAATCTCTTAATGAATTAAACTCTGACACCATTTGACATATAATATTCAAATCAACTGTACAATTGTCTAAATATTATTGTCTTTCATGCACAAGCTTTGTTTTTTAGAGTTATACCTTTATTGATTTTATATACAGTAATAAATCCATATTTTCAGTATTTCGAATATACTGTAAATCTCTTAATGAATTAAACTCTGACACCATTTAACATATATTATTCAAATCAACTGTACAATTGTCTAAATATTATGTCTTTCATGCACAAGCTTTGTTTTTTACAGTTATGCCTTTATTGATTTTATATACAGTAATAAATCCATATTTTTAGTATATCGAATATACAGTAAATCTCTTAATGAATTAAACTCTGACACCATTTGACATATAATATTCAAATCCACTGTACAATTGTCTAAATATTATTGTGAATGATGTACAAGCTTTGTTTTTTAGAGTTATACCTTTATTGATTTTATATACAGTAATAAATCCAT